ATAACATTATAAATTGTGTATTTGGGGATTCATCATCTTTCGAATTGACAATTTTCGTTCATTGTTTTCTTTCTTTTTCTTTTTTTCTTATATATTTGTTCCATCCCAAAGAGGATGCTGCCTGCCGCTGCGTTTTTTTTTTTTTTTTATCTTTTTTTTTTTTTTCTTTTTTTTTTCTTCTTCATTATTTTGAATATACCAAACCATACTTGTAAGTAACTCTAAGAGACTGATCATCGGTGCACGTTCCCTATACAAATTAGTATAAGAGACGGCAGAGAGCTTGCACTCGCAGTGTGCAGTATTTATACAGTAACAGTGTCTGCTGCAGTCGGTGTCGTGTAATAGGCAGATGGTTTGTTTTCTTTCTTTTGAAATTTGCATAGCAAATGTATGCATATGCATATATATATATATATATGTATATATATATATATATACCTACACACCACGTGCTCTTTTCTTTTTCACACATTCTCTCTCTCTCTCTCTCTCTCTCGCGTGCGCTAATTTTTTTTTTTTTTTTTTTTTTCAAATTTGTCACTCCTTTTTTCTCGGTTTTTTTTTTTCATTTTTTTTATTTTCTTTCATTTTGTTTTGTTTTGTTTCTGTTCTAGAAGATCCTATCTAAACCCCCCTCCCGTTCCCCCTCCCCCCACGTCATTTCACACAAAGACTAGCGTTTTTAAACGATCCAAAATAAACTAAGGGCACTTTTAGTGTGGCTTATGCCCTGTCCTTATTCAATTTCATGGAAAATCTAATTCTGACCGTTGTTAAACTTTGTTTTATTACAGCACCTATCGACTTCTAAGAGTCCCTATTTATCTTAATTAGCTATGACACACTTGCCTTAATCTAAGTTTCGATACGTGCTATACCTCGCCATCTTAAAGTATCTGAAATCTTATTATAAATCGATCCTTGTACGCGTAAGTCTCCAACGTCGTTTTTTTTTTTTTCGTGTTTGGGTTTTTTTTTTCTCATTGGTCGCACACCGCATAACAATATATATATATATAGTGAAAAGAAAAGGAAAAAGAAAAAAAAAAAAAAAACGAAGAAGAATAATTAATAATTAATAATAATAAGCCAGAGACAAATGTGTTGTTTAGATAATTACATGTTTCATATCTTTCATTATTATCATCATCATCATATCAACATAAAGGAAAAAAAATTGAGTACATTTATAAAGAAACAAATGAAAAAGAATGAAAATCCAAAAAAATAACAAAGTAATAGAAAATATAAAGAAAGTGGGTGTAAACAAAAAAAAAAGAAAAAAAAATATAGGGATTGCATTATAGGAGGGTGGTTTTTCTCTTGCTGGGGCGGAGGAAATAGAAGGTTCAAAAATAGTTCGAAATCAAGATCATTACAAACTACAACCTTTGCTTAACAATTGTAAAACAATGACTTCAAACTTCGTAAACTAAAGACTGTACAAGTTGAAGTACGATCATGCTTCTTCTCTCGATGAAATTTATCGCGAGTCAACATGAACTCGTTTCCTTCTTTTATTTTCTTATGTTCACTCATCTCTCTCTCTTTCTCTCATTCGCACGTTAGACCCATTCATTCATTTTATCCCATTCATTCGTTCGATCAAATTTTTTTTTCTTTCTTTCTTTCTTAAGCCGATATCGACTAACATGATTTTTTTTTTTTTTTACTTAAAAACACTCTAAGTTTTTTTTTTTTCTAATTTTTTTTTTCTCTACATTAGCCTACAGCTACATTGTTTTTTTTTCTTTCTGTTTATCTGATCTAATAGAATCTACGCTAAAATTCTAAAGAAAGCTTTACGAAAAGCATTTTTTTCATTTGGAAACATAAATGTGTTCCAAAAGTGGTTTTTGTTGTGTAAACCATAGCCGGCCAGCCCAAGCACCCGACCCGCGGTGCGCAGCAAGCAGTCCTTACTATTTATATTACAAGTAGACATAATATGTTGTAGAATAATAATATATATTTATTATTAATATGAATAGCCAGTCAGTCTTGACGGGTGCGAGGTGCATAGGCTGAACGGTGCCAAAACCCCCTACGATCGAGTAGGGAGCATGGCAGTTTATATATTCTAACTATCGCTAGTTTTTTTTCATGTTTTTTTTATCTTTACTTTACCTAAACTTTAGTCGCTTATCCGGTTTACTTTTTTTTTTTTTTTTTTTTATATTCTTAATCAAAATGGTTAACCTAGCCTATTTTTTTCATAGTCAACACTAACTACACACCACATAACTTTTATCTTCCTGTGCTCCTCTTTTTTCTCCCTCTTTCTTTCTTTCTCTCTCTCTCTCTCTCTCTTTTTTTTTTCGCGTTTTATACAATAATTTTATATCTTCACCATCATCTTTTGCTTTTTTTTTTCTTTCTCGTCTTGATCACTTTTTCTTTTTCTTTTTTTCCCCTCCCAAACCGCGGCTCTCCGTTTTTTAATCCGCGTGGGAGTTTTTCTTTTTTTTTTTTTTTTTATTTGCTGGGCACACCCCCCTCGGCCGAAGCATCTCCCATTTTCCACACTCATCAGTTATCAGCACTAATCCTTCCTTTCTTTTTTTCTTCGTTTGGTCGTCACAATAATTATTAGTTATTTAGTACAATTCTATTAGTAAAATTTTCAAAATTCACTATTTAATCACATGTGATTTTTGTTGTCAGTCGTGGTGACAATCGTTTCTGGAACAATACACACTTCATCAATATAGGGTTCCTCTCTTTTTATTTTCTTTTATCATCATCATCACACTTTATTCCTTTCATCTTTATATTCTCCCATCTTCATCATCAATTATCATTATCATTATCATTATCATTATCCTCATCATTATTATCATCATCATCTACGTTTTTATCATTCTATTCTTATCATTTTCTTCTTGACCATTTTTTTTACTTTTTCTTTTTTCTTATTTTTTTTTTTATTATTATTATTATTATTATTATTATTATATATCTTCTTATTATTCATTTCTCCCTTTCTTAATTCTTTTTTCCCCCCTTTTTGTTCTCCTTTATTTTCTTATTCCTTGCTCTCTATCTCTCTCTCTTTCCCTTTTTCTTTCTCTCTCTCTCTCTCTCTTAATGCATGGACTCAAATCGAGTAATAATCGGTCTTTTAAAAAATAGCTCATACCATTTTTTTTTTTTTTCATCTTTTATCTCTTGTCATCAAATTGTGATGTACCAAAATAAACTAAATATATTATTTACTTCAAGTCTCAACAGTGTAAAAATCTTTCATACTTTAGATGTCGTCAATAATAGTAATCGTTAATTATAATAATACAGCATATTATTGTAATATTATAATAATAGCTACGATCGCCTCTAACTCTATCTAACTACCTGTTCGCCACATTGTCGCGTGTGAGCCCACTCTCGTAGCTCGCATATTTGGTAGAATGCTTTCTGCTAAATCGTTTCTCGACTCGATTCCCTAAATAATCTGACAACGACGTGAAACTTCTTTTCCGGATGTTACGACGACCAGAGAAAGGTAGGAAAACATAGGGAGAGAACTATTTTTTTTTTCTTTTTCTTCTCCTTTTCTTTTTATATATATATATATATATATATATACATATATATACACATATATATATATATATATATATATATTGTCGTCCGAGAGACTTGTATCATATGTAATAACCTTCATTTTACACATTCCACCACTCCACACTTTAATACCGAAATCCCTCGCCTATTTTTTCGCTACCGCCCCTATATCGCTCAGTTTCATTTTTTTTTTTTTTTTACTTCATTCATTTTTAATATCGCGTTTATTTTGTGTTCGTTCGATATAATAAATTATTAATTTACACTCTAGCTATATATCATATTTTTCCCCGTCGTAGCAAAACTTACAAAGTTTCTCAGGCGGCACGCGTTTCCTCCCCCATTTATAAGAATTCGCCGTTTGATTTCTTTTGTTTTATTTTATTTTATTTTATTTTATTTTATTTTATTTTATTTTATTTTATTTTATTTATTTATTCATTTCTCTTTTTTCCCCCTATTTATTTTATTTTATTTTATTTTTTTTTTGTAATATTCTTCTTCTTCTTCTTCTTTCTTCTTCTTTCTTCTTCTAAACAACTCCTCCGAACACTACCTGATGTTTCGTTTCACAAATCCCGTTAGTGGCAACTATACATACAAAATCTATCAAATTCATAATCAAAAACAAACGTAGTTGATTAACTGGCTACAACGCAAAAACAATTATATTCTCTTAACTATAAGATCAAAATTTGGCTCAGTTTTCACATTTACATTCCGATGTTAAAAATATATTATAATATTTTTCAGCATTATCCCTGTCTAAGTGGATTTGTCTGAAAAGGCACAATTCTAAAAAAAATATCTGTATTCACTGTACAATTAAAACTGATATCGATTTATAGTAACTGTACTCATAAATATAACACTCTCTAAAGAGTACTATGTTCTTTTCGTTCACGTGCAATAATTATTGTATATTATAATCCTGAAGATTCTTTTTTTTTTTTTAATTATTATTAATATTATTATTTTTTAGAAACAAAGCTTTTCTCTCTCTCTCTCTCTCTTGTGTGTAGCTTTTTCCTTGTTCTTAATTTAAATGTATTGTTCATGATTAAAACAGAACGTGAAATATGGTCGTAGAAGTATTAGATTAAGGTATATCCACGTGGCAGTACACACATGTGCCTGGCTTGGAATGTCTGAACGAAAATAAACCGATAAAAGTGCGATAAGCGGGTGGTGGAGTAGCATGTGCTGTGAATGAGGAGTTTTTCGCACGTCGTTGAAATTCGTTACGCGAATGGTGTCTCCCTTCTCTTACAGCCAAGCCACCGGCCAGCCAGCTGGCACAAGTCCGGTTGGTACTGATTTTTACAACCATACTGAATTTGAATTTTTTTTTATCAATTCTAGCATTGGAAGTGCTCTCTGTATATTATTATTCTTATATATCATTATTATTATTAATATTATATTATTATTACTCTTGGGAAGAATTCTCTTTCGTATATTTCTGAGTAGCGTTTTCATAGTTTACATTTTTGTTAAAATATTTATTCACATTCTCGAGCCTTCAGCTTCGACTCATAGTTTCCTTAGTATATGTAATACCTAAAGTTATCCTGGAAGCCTATCAGCTTGACACTAAACTGTTCATTGCAAATATCAGTTTGTCACTGTTGTATGAGATGTGCTGGTACAGTGTAAAGAGTCGAGCTAGTGTCGAACATGTAGAAGACACGCCAGTCTCATACCCCCATAATTACGTCAATATCCTTTTCTTGACTCGTTGCAAAATATTAACTACTTTCACCTATTTAGCTGATGGATAAAATGTATAAAAGATGGCTGGCAAGTCAATTTATCATGAGGAAGAATTTTATCTGACTTTTTTTATGTTATGTATTTAACGCTCCTTCTATTCTTCATTAATAATCCCTTTTGTTTTCAGCATGTGTATCGTCGTTTCTAACTTATGTAGCCCTCAGCATATTCGTATCTGTATATATAAAAAAGAAAAGGAAAAAACTAAATTAGAAATTATTTAATACAGAATTAAAAACACATTTACATTTAATATCAAATATTCATATTTCAAATAGAATATAATTGTTAATAATTATTATATATTACTGACCTATAAACCGTATCCTACTTGGGCTGTTGAGCTTGATACTGTTGGTAAGAATCATCAGGAGATGCCGCGTTACTTGTCTGTTCTGAATCGCCCAGTGGTATTTGATGGATAATGCTAGGTTGTGGATAAGTGGTATAAGAATAGGGATGATGACTTGCTATGTACTGAAACAGGATAAATCTATTATTTAGATATATTCATATATATATATAACAAACTATAATATATTTCTTATGTTAAATACATAGTAGTCAGATTATCAAAATACAGTAATCTTATGATAATTTTCTATAAGTCATTCGAAACATATTATTTTTAAATTTGTAAGAAACACTCGATAAGATATATTTGTTTCTATTACATGTAATTTAAATAAGCATTAATATTACTTACTGAGCCAGTTCCCAAATGCATTGCAGACATTTGTGTTGTAAGTTGAGGAATTATACTGTATTGAGGATTACTAGGATCTGCAGATGGCATCATCTGTAAGAATAAAAACAAAACAAAAAAAAAAGATAAAATTCCAATAAGAAACAAATTCTATAAAAAATATAGCATTATATTTGGTAGTAAAATCAAGAAAGAAAAAAAGAAAGAAAAAAATTAAATAACTTATCAATAATATGAAATAAATATTGTGTAATAAAAAGATAATTATACAATAATATTCATATATTTTATTAGTTTTATATTGCAACGAATAGAGAAAATAATTTTATATAAAAAAAAAAGAAGAAAAAAAAATATAGTCAAATATCTAAAAGAAATAAATGAAAAACTCTTCTTATAAAAACTCACGTCGACCTGTTGCATATGAGGAGGCGCGGGCTGCACAAGGTATGGTGTGACCCATGGGGTTCCTGGTACGCTATAACCAGGGACAGCTTGACCATAATGACGACCATATTGAGTTAAAGTTGCTGTAGGCAGCATATGGGCTGTCGCAACGCCATTTTGACCGACTCCGCTTGCATCGTAATTCATCGTCATATTCTAATAATAAAGAAATAAATAATAAAACTTGTCTCCATTAAAAATGTATTACGTATTTATATATATACTCACTTCTCCGGTGTCTCTCCACATTGTACTTTTATACATCGATTTTTTCTTATTACCACCATCAGCAAATTTAACTAATAAAGGATCTTTAGCTCCTTGTAATGCTTTCCCATTAAATATGTGGATTATCTGCTCACACTTTTCTTTGGATTCCATTCTGAAATTCGTATAACACATATATTTATCATTATTTTTAAATATATAATTAATTGTGCATATATATACTTTTATATATATATGCAGTTGAAATGCACTGACCTTGCGAATCCAACACCCTTACTTTGTCCTGAGGTGTCACGTAGAATGCGAGTCGAGATGACTTGTCCATATTGTTGAAGAAGTCCTTCAACATCATTTTCCTTAAAGTTCAATGGAAGGTTTGCGATATAAAGGTTTGTAGGATCCTGTTCCTGTTGCTGAGAAGAGAGTAAAAATACTATGCAATATATTGTATGTTTTACTACTATAAATATAGCATTTTAATGAATTATTATCATTTTGACTTTTCAGATATATATCGTGTATGTAATTTTGTATATTTCTATTTTTTGTTTTTTTATTACATTAAATTATTCCAAATTATATTATTATTCTTCGTTAAAATGGTAAATTGTATTAAATTTTGTATAAAATTTTCTATATAATTGTATAAGAGAAAAATAATATTCTATCATTATTACATATATTAAATAATTTTATGTGTGTAATATACAAAGTGTCTACATACATCTGATCTGAAAAATTACAATGATCATTTGAAAGCTGTATTTTCGTATCATTTTGGCAACAAAAAGAAAAATATATATAAAAATATATATATTATATATATATATATATATGAATAATTTTTGAAACTTATAAATATTAAAATATTGTCAATGTATCTTGGCAAACAATATAAAATTACGTTTAAAAATAATATATTCTTTTTGTACATTAACTTATTGATATTCATTATTAAAACATGATGTATGTCTACAACAATGATACTACAAAAAAAATTAGTAAGCTATATAAGGAGTAATTATTCTGAACTAATCGCAAGAATGCAAATGGACAGATATCAGAAATGATTGAATATGAATTAAGACAATAATTATTGTTTTCAATGTTGAGAAAGGTTATCATGCTTCATGGCATTAGGCTTCTCCACATTCTGGTGGCTCTCTAAATTTGCTTTATAGATGCTTCGATATATATTTTTTTTTCTTTCTTTTTCTTTTTTTTTCTTTCTACTAATCTTATAAATACCACATATTTTATTATTTAATATATGATTTAAAATACTTTAATTTGAAGTCAAAAACATGCACACAGAGATAGGTACACACCGTTGTTATTTATATTCTCGATATTTATCGTAACAAAAATTACTGGTGTTTCTTACAATCTTTCTATATTTTAGAGGAAAAAAATAATAAGCAACAAAAAAAAAAAAGAATAGTATTTAAATATCCAATAGAAAAGTATGTGTGTATGTGGTGTGAGAATGAATTCATATACTTTTCGTTAAAAAAACATTCCAATTTGTTATATTTTTATATTGATATGATGTTAATGTATAATTTTGTGAACTAATAAAACAATGCCTATAAACTTACAGAAAAGAAAAAAGATTCAGAAATTAAAAGAAATATTTGTAAAATAATCAAAATTATTATAATTTGGTTATTTATAAAATCCTTAATAAAAACAACGTATTTTTTATTTAATGCATATACACAGAAAAAACTTTAAAGTTCTTTTAACAAATGTGAATACAATTTTATAATCAATTACATTCATATATGACTTTTTAAATTTAGCCGACATGCAAGCTTCTTAATTCACATTTTTAATACAACACCTTCAAAATAAGAATTGAATAATGTGGAGAAAAAAAAAAATAAATGTAAGCATATACACATAGGTGTATTTAGATTGTATTTATATATTAATCATAACGTTACGTACGATTTTACTGACAAATATGTGGACAAATTTCTTCTATTCATTTTTTTTTTATACACTGAAAGCAACGGGGAACATATTACATCAGTTACATATGACATTTTTGTTTTCTTTTCTTTCTTTTCTTTTTTATTTAAAAAAAAACAACAAAAAGGAAGCAAAAGGCAAAGCACAGGCATTGCAACGTGTATAATTCGATTTAAAAAGAGGAAAGATAAAAAAAAAGAAGATTATGATTGACTATATTGCAGAAAACACATATGATGTATGAATATGCGTACATACATATATATGTATTTACGCTATATGATATTTATTTATGATTTTATAAAATGAAGAAAGGATTGAAACAAACACGAGTGTATGGCTAAACTAAATTTAAAATCATTATTATGCACCCTCAAGCATATTTTGAGATTCACCATTTCTGTCAAGTATCAATCAAATCTACAATTACTTGAATATACTTATACTTTACGACAATTTACTTCAATCTTGCGAATGCATTAAAAAAAAAGAACAAATAATGAAAATATTATGATATATAAGCCAAGCTGATGGCATTTATGTATGTATACAGATGATGTCCCTTTTAAAATTAATGTCTCAATTATTTCTTTTAAATACTTTTTGGTTTCTTCGTGAATATTGACGTCAAACATTTATCAACAAATTTTATGTCTTTCTTTTTAAATAAATTGAAGCTAATTCTTTTTTAATTACGTATCTGAATAATACGTATTTATAAAAAAGAAAAAGATATTAAAAAAATTAAACAGAGAAAAGAAAATTAATTGTTACTTTATTTTTTTGAAAGGGCCATTCTACATACATATACACATATGGATATATAAAGATATGTACACACATACACACACACACACAAATCAATATGCATAAATACATATATACGTATGTGTGTATGTTTGTATGATAAAGAAATATACTTTAATGTATTTATACTTTAACTAAATGATTCATATTTTGACCAAATGCGAGTATACATAAATATATAAGATTCAAATACTCTTTTTTGTTATGAAATAAATTATATACTTGTTTAATTGAATACACTGTTTAACTTTAATAAGGATAGTTAATTCAATTACAAATAGTTTGATTATCCGGATGTATATATTAATGCAAAATCAAAAATGTTAAATCCATGACTTATATATATCATGGTAACAGTAACCATTGGATAATTATTTTGAATTAATGGTACTTGAATCTTATAAAGAAAATCCTTGAATATGTTTACAGATTTATTGGTGTGCTGGTTAAACCTTCATTATTTAAGCCAAGTGTGCCAATCAGAGCCAACCAACACCCCAGGGGTAAGATAGCACCTGATCTTCACATAGCACCATTGAATGGTAAGTATACCGTGTACCCTGAGTATAGTTATTAGTGGGTACACATTGTTTAGTCGTATCATATCACATGCGATCGACATCATCACAGCTGCTTGTGGCACCCCTCTGCTTTTACCACGGCCAAATTGAAAGATATTAAATTAATGTCATTTTAAAATGACTTATTGATTTAATTCGATTTAAATTTATCAATATTTGATATATCTCACAAATTAATTTTTCTTTTATTATATATAAATTATAGAATATATAACAGTTATTAATAGAATGAACTCTAACACAAAACCGTTAATAAGTTAGATTGTATTATATAAAAAACAAAACAAAAATCAAACTTCAGCAACAAGGGAAATGTATACATTATTTATAGTAATAATGGATGTGAACTAACTTTGAATTATTTTAATAGTAATATCAATAATAGTACTTAAGTGTAAAGAAAGTAACCATTGAAGGTTTTTATTGTGTTAAATAGATTTTGAATTTTGAAAAATTAATATAAACATATTGTTACAATAATATTAGCAATTTGTGGCCGAGGCACAGCAGCAAGCATCAATAGGTTTGTAGGTATTTAAGACAGAATAATAGACAGAACCGATTAATGTAAAAGAGCGTTTCTAGACAAGTGAGACAGGTCTTGGTAAGGAGAGAAAAATATTGGTGAAACATAAATGAACTTGTAATTCCATGTAGATGCCCATGAGTACATTATTTCTTTCTATTATCGACCATATGTAATAAATAAAATATTCTATCACAAAAAAATCTTTGATGAATTAAAAAATTGTATCATATGAAAATATGTTATTACTGTAAATTGGAAGTATTCACTAACACACATATATCCATGTAAAATAAATTTTATCAAAGAAAATTAATTAAATTTTAAATTATGAAATACAAAAGGCAGTATACAAAGTGCAAATAAAATATTGCACGTTTAGTACAATTCTATAATAAAATGTCTTAGAGTTTGATAGTAATACGTCACATGGCTACTTTTATCTTTTAATAAAATTGATTATCACATAGTACTCATGTGCTATATAATATCATTTTTTCATAATGGAACTAAGATAGTTGCCTGTTGTTTAACACAATTAAAAAGAGAGAGAAAGAGAGAGAGAGAGAGAGAGATAGAGATAGAGAGAGAGAAAGAGAGAGTTATTAGCTATAATATAGTACACATATGAATTTGGACAAGAAGAGGATGGAAACAGATGGATTAAGAACAGGAAGAATAAATAAAAATCAGATAGAGTGAGAAAGAGAAAGAAAGAAAAAGAAAAAGAGGTTTACTGTTACTCTGGTATTACTGTACTTGCATGCACAACCAACGTACACTTGCCAGTCTACGGAGCAACCAGATACCCACTTTCGCCATCTGCGCTTGGATGCCCTTGGCGACCAGTGCTTTCACAGCACCCTCTGCCGCCACCGGTGACTCAAAGTCTACAAAGCCATAACCTGAAAAACAATTTGATTATAAGAATAGGATATAAAAAGATCATTTTTTCTATGTTAAATATTGCATTTTCCATATATTTTTGTTGTTTTAAATGCGATAACTTGAGATGAGATATTTCAAATCTATGGAATACAATATCTAATTTTTTGTTTTTACAATGAAAAAGAAAAGAACTAAGAAACTGCAGATGTAAGTGATTTTATAATAACATGATTTAAATAAGTACCTTTACATTTGTTTGTTGTTTTATCCAATATTGCCTTCGTGGAAGTTATAGTTCCATACCTATAAACAGTTTCGGTAATTATTTAGTAGTTATGTATGAATAAATAATTCTTTTTGTAGATTCATTAATATAATATCATTTACGTACTGAGAACACATATTAACAAGGTCTTTATCGGTAGTATTTTGGTTGAGGCCACGTATGTATAAATTTGTTTTAGATAATTGTTCCGTCTGCTGTCCTTGCATAGCATTATTGCTCATACTTGTGCTCATTGCCCCGCTTTGACTGCCAGTGGCACTGCTAGAACTACTGGTGGTATTGGCTGGTGACGAGGCTGTAGGTACCCGTTGTGCACCATACTAGATATAAAAAGAAAAAAAAAAGTAATAAATTTAAAATAGTTAAGATTACATGCTTATGTTGTATTATTTGTTATCTAACAGGTAAATAAAAAAGCTAAGATTAAAATAAATTGGAAGGAAGAAAAGCAATTATTAAAATTGAGAAGCATATAATTTAGTTTTCATTGAACTTAGTTCCAGTTTGCAGTTTTGATTTAATTTTATCAAAAAATAGTGCATAATGTTGATAGCAGATAATATAATAGACATACGGATAAGGCAGAGAACAATATTAAGTGATGGAGGAGTGGCTTGATGTTATACAGCGATTTGCTAAGTTCCGACAAGGAGGTTATCTATGTACGGTCATCGTCGACCAATGGCAATATAACACTTTCAGCAATTAACCAATAGTAAATTATAAAGAACACGCCTTTTTTCGATCCGTTGATTTTTGTTAATTATTCCTCATGATAATTCGCCATAATGTACTTTATATTTCTTAACAATGAAAACACTTTATTATCCTACAGTCGAAATAATTCGTTAATCTACCGTGTCACGTATGTGATCTTCGTACGAAGCCTAGGATATAAAAATAACAAAATCAAATACGTGTTAAAAAGAAAAGGTGTTCGCGTAAGTAATTAAACGTGAAAAGTGGCATGCGCGAGTAGGAAAAAAGTATCCACGAATCCAATAAAACGACGAACGGCAAAAAGAAATATAAGGATCGCAGTATAATTTCTTTAGCGGTATCTTGCGTGGAATGTACGTACGTCTCTGCGAAATTTGTTTCGCTTGCAGTTTGACGACACTTGCCGGAGTGACCGTGACCCCGCGTCAGCGATGCACCGTGTCTGATTAAAGTAAGGAAGAAGAAGGGGTAACGGGCCGCAACGGCAACAAATGAATCATTTATAGATGCTAAATCGTATAGAAACGATCACAATTGAGAGAGGAGAGATACACTGTTCAGTAGCGCAATTCGTGAAGTAGAAAGGAAAGAGGAGGGACCCATTAGGCAGTACGTAAATCGTTGAACGCTCGTATGGAGGCGTGCACATCGAAGGTGGCACGCAATAGGACGACGAGTGGCTGCTGCTCGACGCGCATCTTCGTGTACGAGTCGATAAGTTAGTAGCAAGAAGGACGGCATATCGAGAAGTGGAAGAAGAGTAACTCGTGCAGTAATTGTGTGAGAAAGGAGAAGAAGAAGAAAAAGAAAAAGAGCGTCGTTGTAAGGTACCAAATGCGATAGTATATATGAAAGCAATAATGATAATAATAATGAAAAAAAAAAAAAAAAGAAAAAAGCAAAAAGATGGTGTGCTGCATCGTAGGATGCAAAAGCGAATATAAATAAAAGATAGATATAGCTAGTTAAGAGAAGAATAAGATGTTGTAAAAGAAAAAAAAAGCAGAGAAGAGAGGAAGGTCCGCCATAGGAGTGTACTCACCGAGACGTGCTGAGCGTAGGGGGCGGTGACGTAAGGGTTGGCAGAGGGCTGTAACGGTTGCGCACCGACCTGTACCTGTGCCGCTGCGGCAGCCGCCGCGGCGGCACTCGGAAAGCGGTTGAAACACGGCATGGCGGCCGCTGCTGCCACCATGGCCGCGGTACCGTGCGACGGCGCCGCGCCCCAAGCTGCCGTGGCGGCGCCACTCGCTCGAAATTGCACCGGGTTGCCTCCTCGTGGTCCGCCACCACCACCACCACCGCCTCCGCCACCACCGCCGCCGCCGCCACTGCCACCACCGGCGCCGCCACCAGCGCCACCCCCGGCCCCACCTCCCGTCGCGTTACCCTTCAATCCGCCACCGGCGCCGGCGCCAGCGCCGCCCCCGTGCCCACCTCCACCGCCGCCGCCACTACCGGCAGTGGTGCCGCCACCGCCACCGCCGCCGCCACTGCCACCGCCGCCGCCGCCACCACCGCTGGTTGGGCCCACGCCCACGCCTCCGGCGTTGGCGCCTCCACCAGCGTTACCGTTGTTAGCGCCGACGTATGCTGGCCGTGGGCTGCTAGCCTGCAAAACGATCAAACCAAATACCACCACGAGATCATCGAATACTCCTTCTTTCCTTCCTTACTTCCTTACTTCCTTTTTATCTATACTTATTTTCCCTCTTCTAATAGTTCTCTACATAATATCCAACTATCAACACCTCCTTACGATCGATCGCTTTTCATCTTCTTCCCTTCCCTTCCCTTTCCTTCGAAATATATAGCCCTATTCATTATTATTCTTTGCGAGAATCTACTAGTCTTGAATAACGATCGAACTAAATACCACCACGAGATTATCAAATATACTCCTTTATCTATCCTTATTTTCTTTCTCCTAATAGTTCTCTACAAAATATCCAACTATCATCACTTTTTTCCGATAGATCGCTTTTCTTCTTCTTCCTTTCCTTTAGAAATATATAACTCTATTTATTATTGTTATTGTTATTATTATTATTATTATTATTATTATTATTATTATTATTATTATTATTTGATTATTATTCTTTGCGAGTATCTCTCTCTTTCTCTAACGACGTCTATGTATAGGGTGAACCAACAGTTCGTACATTTATTGTGTTATAAACTGAACTATGGGGTGAACTTTTGGTTCACTTTAATATATTGCACACCACCACCTTTCATCCGTTTCTCCACCATAAATTTCTTCTATACGATCTCGCGAGTCTAATACGATGATTGTTTTATCTATTTACCACACGCTCTGATTTTGTAACAAAGTTCTTTTAAACAGTAGATAGACAAGACTCTCTCATAATCGACAGACACATACACACACATTAGTCTTTTTTATATAAGCAATATTATTTTATTTTCTAATAGAAATCAATCAAGTACTATTATTTTAAGTTAAAGTTTTTCTATTGTACCAATGCTTAGATATTTCATTTTCGTTATATTTTTCTCTAACAATAACTCGTCATCAAGTGTCTCCCAACTCTTTGAGAAACACACACTACACAACATGCTTCTATAATATTTATTGCAAAGTTAAAGAAACTATGGCTGAGAGGATGAATTACTTGTAAATGTCGGCACAGTTCAATTGGATGGCATACAGCAGACAATGTTAACCAAAGAACTAGTGGACAACCATGAAATAGAGAACACGACGACGTGTGAAATGAGTATCGTGATCTACCGACCGGATGTTACTTCCTGCTTACCACGTCTCTGCATATAATAGTCATGTTACACTCTTCTTTTTTTTTTTTTTTTACCCTTCGGCCCTTTTTTATTTATTCTTTCTTTTTTTTAAACCACACCTTAGATATTTATTCATCGTTATCCCGAAAATATTCATCAAGTTCGAAACCTTTAAGCTGAATAGTTTCAAAGTCGAATTTTTCTAATGCAACTTGACTAGAATTTCTATTGTAATTTAAAAAAACAAAACCTATTTAGTTATCTTTGTATTGAAAGCTTATGATTTTGTATATTTTCAATTATGTTATTTGTTGCATTTAGATAGAAAATCTGATATTACTAATGTAAAGCTTATCTCCACCCCCCCCCCTTCCTCCTCAGGAATTCCTCATGTAGCTTACGCATGCTTACACTCTAGAAATATCTTGGATGACACCATTACCTTAAACGCGAGCCTTTATTCTATCTTTACTTTATTTATACAGGACGTTTCATAAATAATTTGTCAATACTTCAAAGAATATAATAATATCTATAAATATTAAAATAAAATATAAATGTCACATACGAACATCTGTCCCGATATATATTCATTTTCGAAAAGATTTCAAACACAATTTATTGTTGTACGCGCCTTGACCTTATTTAATGTTCAACAACGAAGCACAAAAAATTGTGTGCACTGACAAGAGAGTTCCTCTTCATCAAACCTTGAAAACTACACACAGTTGTACGAGTCCATTAGGACCATACGCTGTGCAAGCAGTAAGATCAAATACTCAAACGTTTCCAAGAAAACTCAGGCAGAAGTTTCACGTGCATTCTCGTATGCCAGTTCGTTTCATGTTAGATAGAAAATATAAATTTGTAGTAAATGCATTGAAAACTTCTGAGCTTAACCACGACGAGGGTTGACAAATTTTGAGTCTATATATATATATATATATATATATATATATATATATATATATATATATATATATATATATATATCTCTATCGTTTATAACAAATTAGTAAAATGCACATGAAAGTTTTCCCTTAGTTTTATTTGAAACTGTTTAGTATTGTGAGTTTTATTGCTTGCACAGTATGTGATTCCTAATGGATCCCTACAACACTTATATTAAAATGATTGACACGCATTTCATTCATGGCCGTGAAAACGAAAATAAATTGAGAAGCACGTCGATTATATCAATAAAACTTTCAAGAACGTATAATACATATTTTTATTAATCTATACAGGAATGGTCGGATAAAAGACGAGCACTTCGAACAGTTTCTTTAATCATTCATAACTCGATAATTAATTGTAATGATATATCGGATATAACATTTCATATAACATTTTTTTTACTTTACTTAATGTGTACAGATATTATACTCTCTGAAGTATTGACATATATATTTATGAAACACCTTGTATAGAACGCGTATAAATATATGATACGTTAGACATTATTGCACTAGTTATTTACAAATAATATGCAAATATAAAATTCGTTCATGTTTTGATTCCTATCATAATATTACTGGACTTGCTTGTGGACTTCGACTCTTGAGTATTTAAACCTTTCATTTCTTATTAAACGCAATAACTTGACTCTAGTATTATGCGTATATTACAGTAAACGATTGCTTGTGTATTGAAATGGTTCCTTTTATCTATAAAATACGATATAAATATTTTATCATTAACCAATCCAAAAATTAAATAATAATAATAATAATAATAATAATGAAATTTAGAAAACCAATTAAAGCTTATCTGCATTTATTTACAGTATTCCTCGTAATGTCTTTCTAAAAAAAAAAAATATATTATATATGCAGTTTATACTTTCGTATTTGACTTTCGAATGGCATCTTAACTTACTTCCGACGAAAAGAACGCTAATTTTTCGGATTACAGCTCTCTATATCATACACTTACCTGAAACAAAAAAGCAAATCGGTAGATGTAATAACGATTTAAACGGTGATATTAGGTATTAAATGAAATTTCACGTCTAAATACAGAGAGTCCACATTTATCATGTTGAAGAAAATGAGTTTATAACAAAATTCATGTTGTGTGACGCGATAAAAAGCATAAGTTAATTATACCTCGATCACGTGCCATTAAAAAAGTAATTAAATTACATTCGACATTAATGCGTACAAGAATACGTACAACTAGGATTAATTAAAGTGATAAGTGAATTTGAACAATGTAATTTGAAAAACTGTACATTTTTAATCATTCTAACAATGCGTTCAATACAAAAAAAAAAAAAGAATAGTATTACAAGTGTTACTAACACAGAGTCAAAAGTTGATTATCGATAATGATTGTTTTGTAGAGTTATTCATCAGTAAGTCGTTCTATAATTATCGATTCAATCGCGATAAAGTACTTGTATAAATACTTTAAGGAGAAAGTAAAATTTGCATTGGTAAATAGGTGCTATAAAAACATAATTAATGACCCATCTCTTTTATTCTAATAACAACGTTATAAGGAGAGCAACTAAATTGCGAGCACTAAAATTGTATGACCGATCTGATAACGAGAAAGAGATATCGTTGACGAAGATAGGTTAAAGTCATGGTGAAAGTTTGTAACGTTAAGTATAACAAAAAAAAAAACTTGCATATTACACGGAAGTAAAATAATTGCAATTAAACAAAAAAAAAGAAAGAAAAATTATAATCAATATTTAAATGTTAGAAAAAAAAATCATCGTCGATGATTTTCTACTCTTTTTTGTTCTCCCCTTTTTTTTTTTTTTTTTTTTTTTTTGATTATTACTCAGTCGATAATAAAATACGGATTATTAAATAAACTTGAATCAAAAGTTCTACCGTCGAGACTGGTGGTGGTGGTGGCTGTTCTTATACATTGTTATATGATCGCAAGTTCGTTGACTTTAAGGCAGGCTCGATCAACCGTGGCCTCCTCTCTCTCCAGCACCTCCACCACCTCCATTTCTATCACCCTCCACCACCAACGCCATTTCTACCTCACGCACTGTTTCATTCTCCTCCGCCCGCGTTTAGATCACAACGCCCTTCTCCCCCCACCCCACAACCCCGACGCAACCACCACCGCTATTTCTCCCACCATTGCAACCAACCGCCATCACGATGAAGACCACCAACCACCACCACCACCACCATCACCACTACTGCGTTCCTCGTCTTTTATTATTGGTCGAGAGTTATCACAAGAATACGGTAGAATTAATTAATTTTTCGATATGACGAAATCTCATTTTTTTTTTCTTTTTTTTTTTTGGAGCGATATTAAATTTACAAAATTTTGAAAAAAAAAAAAAAAAAAAAAAAAACAGATTTAATCTATCTATTTTTTTTTCTTGTAATACAAAAATATTTTCTTATATTAATCATTCGTTCTCATTATAAGAAATACTTCGCGAACTATAACGAATATATATATATAATATAATCTGATACTCTAAATGTGGAATATTATATCGAATGCTTTCTACTTTTCCAATTTTTTAAACCGCAGAGCAACATCGGTTTTTTTTGCTTCTTATTTTTTGTTTTTGTTTTTATCGATATCAAGCTTTCTCTTTGAATCGTGAAATCATAGATATATATATATTATATCCATCTATGGTTTCTTTTAACTGAACATTTTTCTATTCGATGTTAAGATTTATTAATGATTAACACACACCTTCGCGATAAGTGGGTGATTTCTAGTAATATTTTTCTAGTAAAAAAAAAAAAAGATATTATTAGAACAATTGACAAATTATTTTAGTTTCTTTTTGAATAGTGTGTGGAAGATATTTTCTTGTACACTTGTTCTGTACCATTTTAAATAATTTATATTTGTAATTGTGTAAATTATATGTTGATTATTTTAGAAAGTGATATAGTTGATTGATCTTCTAGCATAGTAAAATACTTTTCAGAAACGATTAAATATCAATTTATAAAAGTTTCATCCTAATACACGTTTTCTTTATATAAGAATTTTGAAATAATGTATCACAAGCAAATATTAATTGTTTTAAATTGACTGTGGTAGTACGAATATTCCTCATGTTGGCATACTGTATATTTTAATATTTCACACTATGATATCAATTATTTATTCGAGTAAGAATAGAAATTCACATATTTAATTTGAATCTTTCATTTTTATGATATATCATAAAGGTACATCATATATCATTTTTCGCAGCTTACGTAAAAGAGAAAATAATAAAAGGTCGATAGAAGAGAGTGCGCGTTCGTGCGTCACACGATGGAACGAAGGTAAATGGCACGCGAGGGACCTTGACGAGTACACATCTAGGCCATAGACCTTGAACTTTGTGTCTAGATCACGCTTCGGACATACAATTCAGCCGCCAAATCAGGAACTCACTCTTGTTACGAGACATATCGGCTATAAACGAAAGAAACAACTAGGGTAACTATAGTTTTTTTACTGGACAACTAAATTTCGAAAAAAGTCATTAATAAAATACCGATATTAATATATTTTGTATTCTAGATATATAATAAATAATACAAAAAGAAACAAAATGGAGGTTACGATAAGTATTCTAAGGGGTAGTTCCCTCCTACGTTTTCATTGGTCCAAGTCAATATATCTAATTGGTCGAAATACGAACAGGTCCTTCCTTCCCTAGTCCCCTCCTATTGGCTGGAAGAAAGGCCGGTTTTTAAAACGAAACTTTGCGACTAGCGGAAAAATACGATCGATCCCGAAGGAGTTCAACGGAAATAAAGAAGCGTAGAGAGAGAAAGAGAGAGAGAGAGAGAGAGAGAGAGAGAGCGCGAGAGGTTCAGACAACCTTGACTTTAGTGACGTCACCGGATACCGTTGTGGATAGCGCCTTGCGAACTTTGTGAATGGCATCCGGGTGTGCGTGCTAGCACGCGTTCTTTCGCGCGTGGGTGCGTTCACATGCAAGCTTTACGTGAACGCGCGTCTCAATGCTGTGTCTGGAATATTCAGACATGAAACAATAATAAAGATTGGTCTACATTTCATTCGAAATTCAACCAATCTTTTTATTTGAATTCGACACATAACTCACAGCCATCAAATTATTAATCCGTTTAGATCAAATCCAATTCGATCATCGATTAGAAATTCTAAGTTTTTCTAGTGATTTTTAAATTTCGCGGGATATAACATTATTCTTTGTGATCCCCCTTTATGCAGCATCATTTTTATTTCCGCGCTCTTTTCCATGGCGCATGCGTACGCATCCACGGCATTAATGATCACCGCGCATGCGCGAAGGGAAAATTCGTCGTATTCCGAAATACCGTGTGATATCCATGACAACGAGGATCAAAGACCGGTTCTTATATTTTTTCACCAGCCAATATGGATTATTCTTTAGAGATTTTCTAAAAAAAAAAAAAGAAATAAACTAATTATCGAAATGACGAAAGAGTGACGATATTTCGTTAGAAATATAGAATGAAATATACAGATAAGAAATTATGAAAATATATATTTTATGATCATGTCAAGTGTTAATTTAAAATGGTACTTTAATTTTCTTTTCTAGAAGTTAAGAATTTAAAAAGAACACATCCTAAATAGGAAAGCTAACATTTATTTCGTATATTGAAAATCTTTACGTGTAAATTTAATCATTTCGCATATATATAATGAAGAATAGTTGATAACATGACTATCGTAGTACAACACTCTGAATACGATTCGAACGAGGAAAAACAAAGATATCAAATTGAAAGTTTCTTTATTCGTTATAGCTTCGATAAGATTATTTCTTCGCGGAATGTAGTATCCGCGTTGGGATGCGAGTGTAAAGTAGAACATGGAATGCAGAAACGCTTTGGGATATATAATCACATTAGTGCAGAACAAAGAACAACGTAGATCGTTCGTGATTCATTTCCGAGAGTGCACGCACTTCAAGGCCGATGAACGACCCAACAGACGTTTCTGTTTTGGTCTTTGTCTCTTTGCTCAAAGCAAAGACAAAAAGAATTCCAAAGACTGTATACTTTATTTTAGAACACAATCTATTTACATGAAAGCATGATAGGAAAAAACCAAATTCGAGAGAAAGGATATTTCAAATATAATTATTTTTGAAATGAAAATAAGAATATTTTTTGAAATCAATTCCAAGATGGAAGACTTGATTATGCATATTGACTAAACCGAACGTCAAACTCAAACCAAATATGTTTCGTTTTTATTAATGCAAGTTAATTCGAAAATATTACTCTGTTGTTAAAAAAGAAAAATAATATTTAAAATACAGGTAAAAAAACATATGTGAATACATTATTTTCGTGGCATTGTTTCGTACGATAACAAAAATTGTGTGCCAAATTTTATCTAATTTAAGAATTATAATATATACTCTAACAAAATAATAGTATATCTAAAAATGACGAATAGTATTTGATTTAGCAGACAAGAAACTTTTGGGATATCTCAAAGTTCACAAAATACAATATAAAAGGTAATCGTTTCCGATAATTCTTAAAAATATCGTTCCAATGTTAATCTATACAAACGATTTTTTCGTATAGAAATATTTTCCTGCGTTTGTCATTTTTATAAAAAAAAATGTCTAATCGATTTAAAAAGCGGATAATATTTTATAAGAAATTGATGAGTTTGTCATAAACTCTTCTTGTTCAATTATATTATACGTTCTAAGAAATTTATCGTACGAATGACGAACAAACGAGTTAGGATAAAAAAAAAAGAAAAAAAAAAAAAGAAAAAAAAAAAAAAGGAAAAAGATTGATAATCGAGGAAAGTGAGATCAAAGATCATAAAACACGTTTGAATGAAGATATAAAATCTCGGAAGATAAGTCAATTAACGACAAGGATAATACGCGTATGATAAATATATATTTTTCTTCTTAACTATAAATATAAACAGGTTAGTGTGATAGCCATGATAAATTTTTAACATATGGAACATTTATCGAGATTCTTACGTTCAAACTTTACATATTCATTTATCGTTAATTTTCAACCGAGTTCGAAAATAGTGAATAGATTAATAATAGAACAAAAATATACAAATATATATTTTTTAAATTATCTTCGATGAAAAAACGTACCAAACGTGAAACTTGACGTATGACTGACGGACGATAGGGAAATACAATTTTCGGCAGGTTTTATTCGATCGTACGTTTTCAAATTCGTATCTTAATTCGTAGAAAATGAATTAGACGATGTAACGATTAAACAAGAAAATCGATGCAGGTAAAATTTGGCCTCACCTTAAGGAGTAGTCAAAACGCGCGGCATGGATCACAAATACATAGAAAGGTAACGCATCTTCGGATGCATTTGAAATCCGTCCAATCAGAACGAACGATCCCCTTTTGAGAGAACACTGACGTATCAACGAGACTCGTCTCCCGGGCTTTTTTTTATTTTCTTTTTATAAATTATATCGAAGAGAAGAATAACGCGACGCGACAACACAACACTGCTGATAAAATTCGGCAAGTAGAATTTGTTGTTAACTAATTAAGAAAAAAAAAAAAACTATCGTGTATTTCACGAATATAACACTATAGAGAGAAAGAATGAAATAAAGGAAGGAAAGGAAGAGACGACGAGGAGAATGCAGAGAGAAAGACTCGCAGCACGGAGTGGAGCAGAAAGGAATGGTTAGGTTAGGTTTTTACGGAAGTAGTGTAACATAGATAGGAGAAGTGGGAGATAGGGAGAACGAAAGAGGAGTTTGGGTGGGGCAACGGACACCCCGCGGCAAAATGTCAAACTACGCCGGTTCCATGGCTGCCAGCCGCCCCCATGATAAAACTACGTTTTCCACGGGAAGAACCTTCCTGTTCGTTTTGTAACAGTAGTGTAGTAGTAGTGTAGTAACAACACAACAGTAGCAGTAACGACGAGGACTAGGACGAGGACGACGTAGGGAGCGCACAACGCGACGAACACATGCACATATATGTATATAAGAGCGGGCATTCATCCGTTTTGTGCATGCATGGCATACGCGCGCGCGCGCGCACGGGACGACACGCGGTAGCGCACGCCTTCAAGCGACCGGCAACGCAACGAGATACTACCAACGACGAGGAGGACGATGATCACCACCACGAACCACGTCGAGTTCAATCAAAGATGGGACGCGGTTGTACTTCAGCTAGGCGGGAGTAGATGGGAGGGAGGGAGGGAAGTAGAGAGAGAGAGAGAGAGAGATAGAAATAAGAGGGAGAGGGGGCTCGAGATAGAATAGCAAAGTATAGTAAAAAAAACAGAAAGAGATAAAGAGAAAAAGAGTAAATGATACTCACCATCATCTTATAATTAATTTTCCTTTGCGGAGCAACGTTGTTTTCCATTCTGACAGACATGCTAGTGGTTGGTAGTTCCTAGCAAACTCGGAACGATGATGCTCTGATAATAATGTAGTTTGCAATTGTAGTTGTCTAGTAGTACACTAGTCCAAGTAGCAAGTAGCAGTAGTAATAGTAGTGTATGATGAAGGTGGCGATGGTAGTGGTAGGTAGTAGTAGTAGTAGTAGTAGTAGTAGAGTAGAATAGTAGTAGTAGGTAGTAGTATAGTAGTAGTAGTAGGTAATGGTGTGGTGGTGGCTGCTGTGCTCCCTGTTACTTGCTGCTGTAGCTGTGGAGAGTGCGTACAACACGCGCGCGTGTACTTTCGTCTTAGCAAATCGGTCGGTCGGTCGCCGGCTGGCTAGCCGCGTTGCTGCTGTTGCTGCTCTTCCTTCCTTTATCCCTCCTCCCTGACAGCAATAACAGGAAACGACTCCTTCGGGCACACCTTCCTCGGCTTCGCTGCTGCTTTCTACGTACACGGAAAAGATGTAGCTGGTTCACGTGCCCGCTCTCCTCCACCCTTCGATGCCACGCGAGCCACGACGCGGCCGAGAGCACCGTCACACGGCTCAGCGGAATGTCGTATATCTCGTGTCGCACTCCCCCTGATCGCACGGCCGATAATAAAAGAGAGAGAGAGAAAGGGGAGGGGGCTGGCGGCAGCAACGGGAGGAGAGGGAAGGGAGTCGCGCCAGAAAGAGGGGGATACAGCCGAACGCTGTGGAAGGAGGGGAAGGCAGACTGCTGGAGGTGGTGGTGGTGGTGGTGTTGGTGGAGGTGGAGGAGAAGAAGAAGATGGTGGAGGTAGAGGATGGGCGAGACGAGACGCAACGAGACGAGACGAGACGCGTGGTATCCCGCCACAGGCTAGATGAACGGCTATCGTCTGGAGAGACGAAATCGGGAATGATGCAGGGTACAGAAGGAAGAAGAGACGTCAGTGGTACGGAGCGTATGGTTACGGGGATCACAATAGAGCCTTTAACGCACCGACGAAACCGAACGCGACCAGCGAGAACGATAAATCACTTTGCACCGTAGCGAGGAGTGGGAGAGGACGGTAGAAAGGGCGATGGCGGTATCAACGGAGGGAAGGAGGGGTGAAAGTGAGGAAGAGAGAGAGAGAGATAGAGATAGGACCGTGCAAAGGGGGCGAGGAACGAGCTGCGCGCGCGAGCGTAAACGCGCTCTCTGCTTGCTATCGATGATGCTGTAAGTATGTTATGTTGTGTGTGTATGTGTGTATATAGGTATATACGTCTCGCGTATCTCTTTTGACTCGAGAAAACGTACGCGCGCGCAAGATGCGTGAGTGTGCGAGTAAACGAATATACGTTAAAACCGAAAGAATGATAAACGAGGGAGAAAAATATGAAGGAAGAAAGGGGTAGAGAAAGCCGAACGGTGGCGATGCGAACGGATGACGGACGTTAAGAGGGTGTGTCAATCATACACACTTCACACTACTTTGCTAAACTAATACTAATACTTCTTTTACACTTTATTCCATGTCGATGTTTAACACACGCACAACACCGGCGAGAACCTAGGCCAAACGTGTCGGGTAGTAGTAGAGACAGAAAGAAGTATGTAGTAGTGTGAGTGGTGAGCGCGCGTGTGCGTGTGCGTGTACGAGAGAGACAGCGAAAGAGAAAGAGAAAGAATGAGAAAGCGCAAGAAAGATAGGTAGTAGTATGTGAGAAAGAAAAAGAAAGAAAGATATCGAACGAGTTGCAAGGAAAAGAGAAAGAGAGAGAGCGAAACTACGCGAGATTATCCGCCTACTTGGCCGCCGATTTCAGCCTTAGCGACGGCCAGTTCGTCTTCGTGATACGGTTCGTCGTACTTTTTCGGTTTTTTGTTTTGTTTTGTTTAAAAATCGTAACGACGATTATTTTCTTGGTCGTTTTCATGTAAACCAACCAACCTTCCTCGTTGATTTGTCCACTGTAGTTCGTGGCGGCGCCTTTGTAACTGTCTTGGTCGTTAGTCAGGCGTCACAGCAATGTCACCTCGATCCGTTTACGATTATAATTTAGCCTTCTTATTTGTATTTCGTTATATGAAAAGCACCACTAATGCGCTTCCCTTTATACGTCTCTAACGCCGAACGATATAGCACTATTTTATATATTTGACGTACTTTCCTTTATCGGTTCGTGTCCCGTGCGTTCTTCTTTCGCCACTCGCGGACCCCGTCGTTTCCTATCTTTTTCTCTTCTCCGAATTTCTCCGTTTTAATATTCTTTACGAATTACCGAAATATCACTACTAATATAACGACACGATACAAAAATATATAGCTTGTTTCCCCCTTTTAAATAAAATAAATTACAATGTTTAATTGTAAGTTCTCGTTAGGAAACATTTAAATGTGTGTTATCTTGTACGTAGAGTCTAGACTACTGCCCGGTGAGATTCACCCATCTTGTCCGACACTGAAAAGAACCGTCGTTTGGCGGCGCTGTATTCCCTATCACCGATCGTGGGGTTTCAGTGGCCGCACCTGTCTGCATGGCCGCCATTCAACACGCATGGAAAATCATGAACTCGTTAAAACACGACAGAAAATAGAAGAATGGGATACGAAAAAAGTAAAACTTAGTTCTATTATATTCTTTTAACGAAGATATAGAACAAAATCGTTTGTTAACGGAATGGATTGAGTTCTCCCGATATCTCGTAAATGAATTTTAATTTTTAACAGTTGGCAGACTTGTGTAATAACCGAACGTTACCGAAGATAGCCGAACGTTAGTGAATTTTGACGAGCCGGCCGATGAGACGACGACAGTCTAAGGAGGAGGGGCGTTCGTGCAACGGGCGAATGGGCGGGCGAAAGAGAAAACGAGAAAAGGGGAGAATGAGACAGACCGAAGGACGACGCACGATGATGAAGGGAATGAAAAGGGCACGGACGGAGGGGTAGAGCTAGAGAAAGAGAGAAAGAAAGAAAAACAGACGCGGGTGGGTACGCTCATCCCGCTGCTAAAGTCCCTTTGCTATGGGGCTACGTGTACATTGGGCACGATTCCTACGTGAAAAATGTGTGCCCGAGAGAGGAGGAAAAGAGGAGTCCTTCGAGAGGTACGTCGACTCCCTTGCAACGCGATGTGTCGCGGTTGTCATGTCACCGGAGAGAACCTTGCGTCCAGGGAAATCCTGCTTTGTCTGCTGCGCGCCAAATCGAAAGAGAAAGAGAGATATCTATATACATATACATCATATATGTATATACATATGTATATACATATGTATAATATCTATACACACATGTATATTGAGAGTGGGAGATAGAGAAGGGAGAAGGGAATGATGAAGTAGAGGGAGTGAAGAAGAAAAGGAGGAGAGAGAGAGAGACAGACAGATAGGAGGGTTCTCCTTTCGTCGTAGGGCAAGATCGATTATCCCACGGCCCTGTGGTCGTCGCTCGAAGAACTTTGGTCGCGCCTTCTCTCGCGAGAAAGTCGCGTTATCGATCGTAGAACGACCTCGCTCACTTATACTCCCTCTCGAGGTCAGGAGAGATTTTTTTTTGGCCTCTCTCTTCTTCTTCGTCTTCTGTCTTCCACCTTCCCTCCAAAATCCCTTCGTGGTCGTTGACTTTTCTCGTTTCGACTTTAGACACGAAGCGAAATCGATTTTCCTTGCAATTATTTCGATGCCGACCTAATGTCCATGCATACAAACCGAAACAAATTTCTCTTTGCGTTTTGTACTAAATTTTTACGTTGTTTCTCTTTCATCTTTATTTCTTTCTTTTTTTTCTGTCTGTCTGTCTGTCTGGCTGGCTGGCTAGTTCTCTTTCTTTCTTTCATTCTCTTTTTCTTTCTCTCTTTCTCTCTCTGTTTCGTTTTCGCCATTGTATCAGTAAAAATTAAAGCCCGCCGATTGGTCGATCCAGTGTCGCGAAGCACTGCAGTTGGAAGATGCGACGCATATTTGCGATCGGCTTGAGATTCCTTACCGAATGGCGTAGGACCTGGTGGAACCGAATATTTTTCGTTGCTTCTCTCGCACTTTTCTTCCCCACTAACGAAAGAGAATGAGAGAGAGAGAGAGAGAGAGAAGAGAAGAAGACTAGTTTTGATCGAGGGACAACCTGTCTGTCCGTTTCTTAAATACTTTTTAATACATTCCTTTTATTATATATATTTTCTTTTTTTCTTTTTCTCTCTATATTACTACCAGCTCGACAATACACAATATTGTCCTCTTAATCTCTTGAGATATGTTTGACTACTTCTAAGATTGATCCCAATCTAACAGAGATCCTCAAATTTATTTCAATAATTTGTTAAACGTTTGAACGTACGTTGGAATTTAATATCCATCGGTTTAGCTAACTATCTTCTTTCTCACCCTATTTCATTTTTATTCTCATACGGTGTTACATAGTATTTATATTAACATAAACAAATTCACGAAATTTCATCATCATCAAAATGTTAAAAAAAGAAATAAGAAAAATAAAATAAACACGCTTATATGTTTAATCCAAATTTACATTGTAATTATTTCGATTATTATTATTATTATTATTATTATTATTATAAATATGTTTGCGAGTAAAAGCTTTAACGGGGAGTCATACTTTGAGAACCGCCGCGTTTACGACCGTTTCGAAAATGTTAATAGGTCGTTGACGTAACCAGAAGCAGACCTTTCTCGCGCCTTGTTCCTCGATGTCAGACTAACGTTTCATTGTAAATTTTATTGCATAAACATTATTTATTCGTTTTTCTTCTTCAGCGCATAAAGGGAATACATATATTTTTTGTTTTGTTTTTAATTCGCGATTCATTATTTTCCCTTTAAATCGTAATCTCGTTAATTCGACTTAACTTATGTGTTATATTTGTAAAAATCATGAGTTTTAACGCACTCGTGTTATTATCGAAGTATAATTTGAAATCTTTGCTTTATAATATTCATATATAGTACAAATTATCATTAAAACTTGATATATTATATTTTGAACGTTTAGTTCTATCATATTTTCATATAATACAAAAAGAAAATGTAAAAACGTTAATTATACTAATTAGAAAATAAACGATTAAACGGCGTTAAAATAGATTAGGGGAAAAAAAAAAAATAATAGATTATCTTATTGTGTTATTGAATATCTTCATTAGTATTTTATCTAGTTAACTCTGATAAGCGTTACGTTTTAACGATTATTTTCATTGTTC